TATTCATTGTTGCCTTTTAGTCATACAAAAAAAAAAAAATCCCACTGATTACATTTTCACCTGTTTTTCTGTAATGTATTTAGTTTTTGCAACCAGTATTTAAAATTATTAAAAAGAAACGGATGTTGAAAAACTGTATAGCAGTAGTAATAATAGCAATAATAATAATGGCCATCCATCTATTTTCCAATCCGCTTAATCCTCACAAGGGTCGCGAAGGGTGCTGGAGCCTATCCCAGCTGTCATCGGGCAGTAGGCGGGGGACACCCTGAACCGGTTGCCAGCCAATCGCAGGGCACACAGAGACGAACACCCAAAAAAGTGAACAAAATACAGATCATGCAGTCCACATGAGCACCCTGTTGAATCCCAGCCAACGCTTTGTTCCGGCCCTTGTGTTCTCCTCAGTCACCCCTTTTATTATGAGCAAAGCGCTTCATCACTGCTGAGTCATACAAAATCAGTCATCCCGCTGGAGTGTTGAGCCGAAAGCTGGCATGCCGCATTACGACACGTCTCGCATCTGTCCTCGGTGAAAGCCATCCGTGGGCTATATTTAGCCCACGCACGCAGCATTATATGGGTCAAGAATCCCATCGTACATCCCTCCGTGTTTGGCTGCACTCCTCCAGCAGTTCCGTCTGTGCTGCATCCCGGCAAGCTGCTTATTTTCATCCTCCCCCGGACACTCCCTTTCCTCGGGCGTCATTCGTTGTTCAGGACTTTTTTTCCTTTTTTTTTCTCAACGTTACCCTCAGATAGCTTGTCGCAGGTTGTGAACAGCTGATGTTGTTTTACTCTTCATTTCCGTGTGTCGTCCTCCCACGTGCTTTCCCCGGGAGCCTGAAAGCCGCATGATCTATCCGTCCACTTATCCCGTTCAGTGCCACGGGGAATGCGAGAAGCGTTCCTGATTGACTGTAGGGATGCGATGACTGGTTCCCAGTCAAATCACGGGACACACACACAAAAAAAAGATACATACAAGTGTTATGTCAGTAAACCATCCATCCATTTTCTGAACCGCTTTATCCTCACAAGGGTCACAAGGCGTCCTGGAGCCTCTCCCAGCCGTCTTCGGGCAGTAGGCGGGGGACAGCCTGAACCGATTGCCAGCCAATCGCAGGGCACACAGAGACGAACAACCATCCGCGCTCACACTCACATGTCGGGACAATTTAGAGAGTCCACTCAGCCTGCCATGCATTTTTTTGGAATGTGGGAGGAAATTGGAGTACCCGGAGAAAACCCACGCAGGCCCGGGGAGAACATGCAAGAAATCTGATTGTTAGTCTGTTAATGGGATGACACAAAAACAGCAACGGCAATTTCCACAAACGTTTGTAGCGTTGGGATTTTGTGTGAATGACGATTTTTTTTTCCCCATCGTCTGCACGTGAAACTTTTTGCTGATCTTCATTATTGTTGTCTCATAAATTAAAATTATAAAATTATATAAAATATATCTATAGAAGTGGGACAAATAAAGGTTATCGTGTCTTAAAATTGCCAGTATTTTGCAATGCGCATTACCATGCATCACCAATCATTGAAACATCTTGACGATCATGCTTAGAATTGTTCCACCTTGGCTCCTTCTCATCCCAACTGCCTCTGACGGTCTCTCAATCTTCCATTCACGTCGCCTATTTTATCAAGGTGACATTTAATTATTCAAGATTTTTTGAGCTGGTATTTGACAATAGAAAGCAAGAATCTGGCTGAACGCTTGCATGAAAAATGATGCATTGTCGTGCCAGAAACCTCTCATCAAAATCCTAACAAAAGGAGATGTCAAGGTTATTTTGAAATGAAATGGGAAGACAAACGTTGACACTGAAAAAGTCCATTTGTGATCAGAAATATGAAAAACACGAAATACACTTGAAAACTGCTGTTGTCATTTTGGAACAAATTGAACAGAAAATCTTCCATTTTGATTTGTAGGCAGCATTTGGGCAAAAAAAATTAATAAATTAATTTTTAAAAAATGGTCATTTATATCCGGACAAGATGCTAAAACATTTCAAGGACCCTTGCCTGGAGTTGAACAGGAAGTCAGCCATTTTGGCCGAAACGTGATCCCTTTTACTTTGACGCACTGTGCTGTGAAGGAATTCTCTCATCTGACCCCCAATCATAAGCGGCTATCGGCATAGTTTGATCACTTGCAGGATTCACCGTGACAAAGCGTGAGCGATGGCCCCTTCATCGCCGCTCGCGGCTTAACGCTGTTACACTGAAACCTTTTTTTCCCTAATAAATATCTGGCCGCCAGCAGTGCCAACGTCCCGGAGTCATCCATCTGAACAACATTGTATCTGTCACTTTCACAAAGGTGTGTAATGAAGTGCTGCCATGAAACAGATTGTGGGGCAAATAGATGTTAAAAAAAAAAAACCCTGAAAAAAAAAAAAAGGAAGCCGTCCAGGTAGGAGGGGACAAAGTGGACATTTATTACAACCTTATTCTCATTCTATTCCCCCAGGAAGGGCGTGCC